AAATAATTATATGTATGTTAGAATATAAAGAAAAATTTTAACTGTTGAAAAAGTTAAGAACTTTGAAGAGATAAAATCAATGTCAATTTACGTAGGGAACGACGAGCAATAAATTGCGTGACACTTTCATTGACTAAATATAATCTTTATTTCATAGATATATTTTACACAAAAATTTATTTATTTTAGCATGCAACAGTGATCTATTAGCAACGAATAGTAATGCTTCTGAGAGTAACACTCCACGATGTGTTACAGCATATTCCTTTTTTTTCTCTTTCTATCCTGTCGACATCGCTGTCGATTAAACTTTTTTATATTGATTAATTATTTGTACTCTCTCGTTAACTGCGTTATCTTATTATCGCACATCGATTGATCTTATTATTCATTTATGTAATAGAAGTCGTTGAATCTAATGATTAATGACAAAAAGGGACGAGAAAACTGTTATTAATATAAAATATATTATAGAAAATAACAAAGTCAAATTCGTAAAAAAGGATTGCAAAATATAACGTTTTAAGAAAATAATTAAATAAGTCACATTAATACTTTGCAATATTCTCGTTTCGATCATGTGTAAATTGGTGAGTGTGCGACGTAATTCGAGAAATAATTAATTATTTCAACGACATGATCTTTAAAATAAAATAGAAGTAGGAAAAATAAGACAAGGAATTTCATGATTGTTCGAGCGACTCTGCGTGCGTATGAGGAGCTTTTAAATAAATTAACGAAGCAGGAAAAAAGGAAACTCAATAAAAATAAAAGGTACTACGGAAGATGGGTATTTACGAAAATAATTTTATTGAAATGGGAAAACATAAGAGACGAAATTGTTGCTCTACGAAGAATCTTCGTTGCAGCAACAGTAACGTGTCATTTTATCGTACGATTTTAAAAAAAAAAAAGAAAAAGAAAGATAAGGAGCCTATCATCGATTAAAAGAACTATGGCGAGAAACGAGTCCATCGGTAGCCGATCTAATCTGCAACAGTCGACTCAAAAGCAAAACAAATTTCCGGTACGCAGCATGTCTCTTCTTATTTAAAAAATGACGATACTTGCTACGCTAACTAACGTTAAACGAAAAGAGAAAGATATAAAAAAAGTCGTGCGTTGATATCATTCTACCGTTCGTCATCTGATTACTAAGGAATGCTTTCCATTTGATGACAAGTCGATACGAGTGTCGTTTCATCTTTGTGTCAAGAAAGATAAAATGCTTGTGTCAAAAATGGAAAGTACTCAAGATCTTGCATCGCGATGTACGGTCTCTCGATTAAACAGCTCCTATACATCGTTCCTGACCACAAGGATGATCGGTGACGAGATCGATCCTCGCCCTTCACTCGCGTGACTCTCACGCGACATTGATGACGTACAATGTAACAAAATAGACTAATGTCTTTTTATCATCTTCCAGCGTGTCCCGACTTCTCTCAACGGAGAATTCGGAGATCAGTCATCGAGACATCCAACTATTTCTTCTCTCTATTATATTTTAATCGTAACGTAAACTTTCTCGACCCGTTCTTCTTTTTTATATGTATATATTCTCGGCTGTATATCTCAGCAATAATAATTGCTCGCAATGATGCTCGTCTATGATTAATGAAATTCACCAAAGAAAACTCCATTTAATCAGGGAGGGGATATATTATGTCAGATTGTTGAAGTTAATCTATAATGTGCTCCTTGCTTTCTGTTTCTGTTGGTTTTTACTTCTTATCTTTTTCTCTCTTTGTGTGACTTTTTAATCAACAATCGAGCTTTTTGTTTCTTTCGGAGTTCATCAATTTTTATCTTGAATGATAAAAAATGAAGAAACAGGAGGCCAAAGTAAGAGATAAAAACCACGAATCAGAAAGCAAAGAGCACGTTGTAGATTAGTTTTTAATACTTAGATTTTATAATATCTTTTTTGAATCCTTACATTCTAGAATCTTCGAGAATGCTCGATTCTATCTTGGATTTCGCATCCTTGCGAAATAGCCTGGATCCTTATGCTCTAACAACGTTGAAGTGTCTCCTTAAATTTTAAGAATCTTTGAATTCTTACGTTCTAGGATCTTTGCATACTTAGATTCTAGGGTCTTTGGATAATTAGGTGTTAGATTCTAGGAACTGTGGATCCTTAGGTTCTACGGTCTTTAGATTCTTGGATTAAATTATTACAGAGAATTTTTGCGTCTCACTTAGGTATTCTAGGATCTTAGAATACTTCTATATTTTCAGGATGAGAAGTGAGAAAAAAAAGAAGGAACAGTAGATGCAAAATATTTGTATCATCAAGTACGACTTGGTCTGAAGTGGCGCAGAATTTGGATTCCAGAATGTTTGGATATTTGCTAGATTGCTCTCTTGCAGACTATGGGGACTGAATACGACGTTTTTCCCCGAGCGGATTTTCGAAAAAAAAAAAAAAAAAAAAATTACAAATCAAAAGCGCGTCGTAAGGAACTTTAATCGACTAGAGGATCCGACGACGTGTCAAAAATGTCGTGTGCATGTAATAAACACCGTACATTTTTTCTTCGGCGAGTTGAAAGAACTAGGAGAATGTTGTGAATGTTATAAAAGTTATAGCGTTTCCTAGAGAAAGTCAGTTTGGTTCCTTCGATCTTAAATTTCGCTTATTGTAATCTCGGACTATTAAGTCTATGAATCTTTGGACCTTAAATAGTCATGTTTTCGCATTATGTTAAAATGTTAAAATGTTCGAGAATATTTTGCAGAACCAAACTTCGTGACTACGCGCGGAAATTCAGAGGACTATCGCGAATACGCATGCAATGCGTTTATATTAACGAGGTATGCATCTTTTCGACAATACGGGATTTGCGAAATAACAATGGGATTCCTCTAATTGATGAAGACTGGCCGGAAGTAAGATATATAGAAATTGAGAAAAAGAGAGAGAGAGAGAGAGAGAGAGAGAGAAAGAGAAATACATATGTATATAAGCGAAGAGAGAAAGAGAGCTCGCTACGAGGTAAGAGAGGTGTGTCTCCTCCAAAACAAGTCGGGGTGGCGTCGCGACGCACAACGTCGACAGCGACGACGATGGGCGCCTACGCGTGCCTTCACGAGATCTTGTTTCGCCACCACGAGAACTTCATCTTCGGACTGAGATATTGGAAGCTGATGACCGAGTGCGGGATCAGGGCGAGTATCGGTAGGAAGCTGCCGCAGCTGCGACTTTTTGGCTCCTCATCACTCTCTACCATCGTTGCCGTCGTCTTGCTGGTGGTGACAGTAGTGGTTGTCGTCGTGGTGGTCGCCGCCGGTGTCGAGTACGGATAAGGCGTCGACAGGGGATTGCATGTTATGTGGATGTCCTCGGAATTCCACTTGTTCTCGCATCTCATGTCGACATCTCTGTCCGCGAGGCTTTTTCTTTTTTGCTTCTTTTCCGTAGCGATGCTCATATATCGCACGACGCCATTCCTCTCAGTAGTGCCATTATCATCGCCGCCGATGTTGACCTCGCTCTTGAGAAACGAACTCTTAAGGGATGTTTTACGGTATACCTTTGATCGTAGCATCTTCGTCGTCAGTTGCGGCAACGACGCTGAGCGAACCGTGGAATCTGCGCCAATCGCGCTCTTCGGGGTCGTGCTGGAAACGTCACGACCCCGAAGAGTGGGTGACTGCAGGGAGATGGAATGCTCTCTGTCTCCGCTCGTCGAGATCGTCATCGCGCCGTCGCGATAGCGATCACGGGGAGGAAAACAGGGAGAAACAGGAGTGGTGCGCGCTTCATTGGTCTCGGGTTGCGAGACGAATGAAGCGTCCTTGAACCCTCAGCTCGGGAAACGCGAGAAGAAGGCGCAAGTCAAATCATAATTGGGGAAGCGACAGTATTGCACGTCGGTGCGCAGCCAATCGCCGGAACGATTCAGATAATCGGATCGCTTCTCGAGTTCGCGCGGACAATTAGCCGCCGCGGACTGCTTGTTAGCGAAGATCGTCACGACAAACTTGCCCGGCTTGAAGGTGTTCAGCACGCGACGGATTATTTCATCATACGATGTCTCTGAGACATTGCATTCGAACGACACGTACGAGAACTCAGGCTCTGGCGTGATGTGGATCGTCATGTAGCTGCCCTGAAAACAAATGCAGAAGATAGCACCGCATTCGTGGATAATTAAGATTTTCCGCGTTACTTACCGGCGATATCGAATTACAATATTAGATATGAAGAATGATATTATTCTTCTAATTACAAATCAGGAGAGTCTTAATTATATCTAAAATATCTTTTACTTGAATATATTTATATATTAGAGGAGAATGTGATATTATGGTCCTTGTAGATATAATGACTTTCGTGATATCTCCACTATTAGATAAATTCTAGTGGTTATTTATGAATCACTTGATTAATAGCCGTTATATAACAGCACTAATACATAATAGTATTTTTTGTAACGCATTTTTATTTTCGGGCATTTCGAAATGTTTTCAACATTTTAGCATTTAATTATACGTAAATGTGTTATTTGTTATATTTAATATTTTATTTAGTTGTACGTATTTTTCTTATAGAAAGATAAACAATGAGCATGGCATTTTGCTGACATAGCTCCCTAAATGTGCTGATATAATAAATACAATCTGTTTTTTTCACATTGAAGTTATTCAATAAATTCTTTGTAGCTCTACTATTAATCTATTGCTTACATTATATATTTAATAGATTTTTAATACTAGAAGAAGAAATATGTAATGAAATTTGCATACAATATAATACAGTATAATATAGTTTCTACAATATTTTATTGTTATAATTTTTCGTAATTTTGTGATCAAGTATCGTTTTTTAAAGGAAACCAATTAAAAAAAAAATCTGTTAGAGGTCATCTTGTTCTTCTCCTCTCTCTCTCTCTCTCTCTCTCTCTCTCTCTCTCTCTCTCTCTCTCTCTCTCTCCAACTTATTATGCAATGTCCTTATATTTTTATAAATGTCCTAAGTAACAAATATTTCATAACTTTGAGTAGAATCGATTGAACAATACTTTGACGAATCATTAACTTTTCAAATATTAAAATATCAAAATATTGATTACACAGAAGATATAAATGGGAATACCACCTTCTCCTATATATACATTGTGTGTGTGTATGTGTGTGTGTGTGTGTGTGTGTGTGTGTAAAATAAGTTAAAATATATTCTATTTCTTATAATTATTTATATATTAATATGTATTTATTAAATTGATATTATACTTTACGAACTGTTTAACTTTTTCAATCTTACGATTAAATGATTGTTTAAAATGATTTTCAATGCTTGCAACTTACGTTCTTAGATATTCCGTTCATAGAATATCCGCATGGCTCGAACAGGAAATCATCTATGATCATAGTGGGAATGAGCTTATCAATTCCCGACTTGACTGTCGCCTCATCGGCGGACGAGCAGACGTCTCTGGTGAAGATCGACATCACGTCCGGATCTAGATGCGTCATGAGTATTTCCAGAGTTTGATCCGGTTCCGGTGGGTCCTGCAGTGACTTATCGCGAATCAGAGTGTAAAGATACCAGCAATCCGTCTCGGGCGAGCCCATGCAGTAAGCTTCGCCATCTAAAATAAGAAATAGAGCTATAATAATGGGACCAATGGAATTTCCGAATCACACAATGTAAAGAACAACTGGCTTAAAGGATCTAATCACTCTATCCGCCTGTTCTCAGCATACTTTCCTTCTGTATAATAGAATGAAAATTAATTTGAGAAGCTAATAATTACCAGAGAAGAGGGAATCTAGCAGAGCGACTTCTTCCTCGAACGTCTGATGCGGTGATATCTGGATCTCCGGTTTCTTGTAATTTTTTCGGGAGTAAAAGACATTCTGAAAGTGCAACATAAATTAATGTAAGAATCATACATATTATATTTACTCATACATATTATATTTACCCATTCTATTTTATATGTTTCATCGATGATAATAAAATGGAAATAACGATAATTAGTGAAAAAAATGATATAAGAATAATGAATAATAAGAAGATAATAACGGATAGAAAATAATAATGAGAAATAATTGAAAAATAACACTTTTAGCAACAATGAATAAATATTAATACGCAAATTCGAAGATAGATTCTAAACTGCTTATTTGCAACTTTTTTATCATTATCGCTAGCATTATTATTATTATTGGTACTATTATCGATATCATCATCTAAATAAATAATATCAATTATTTTCGAGAAATAAGACTTCTTCAATTATCGTAGTTTATCTCTTTTTCGACGATAACTAAGCAATCAACATCTAAAACACGTGATAATCTTCGATATCTTCGAGACAAGCAGGAAAAAATTATAGTGGGGAAATACATTTAAACCGAAGATGGGCCGATATAAGGCTCATCTCACTCTAAAAAGTAATCATGTCAATCTTGAAAAAGTAACTAGATTTTCAATTAACAGTGAGATTTCAGAGTGATAATACTCTAAAAGTTTTAGAGACTGTATGGTCAAAACATCCTTAAATCCGCAGTTCAAATCTCGTGCTGAAGTAATCGCGCGTTCGAATTTCAACTCCGACATTTACACGATATTTCGGGCGATAAAACCGATTTGATTGTAAAGCAACGAAGGGTTGGGTTAAAGAAAGGAAGTTGCGACTGGATCTGACACCGCCCGGTCGGAAAGATTCGCGAAGCGCGAAACATGTTTCGGGCAGCGAGGGAGAGGTGTGCAGGTATGTCGCGGCGAGATAGGTGAGATCAATAAACCAGGAGGTGGCAACGAAACGCGTTTCGCGCGTGGCGGAGGGACATATATAGAGCCGCGTTTCTTATCCGCGCGCACTAGGTCAAGTTATATAGCTAAGCACTCCTGAGACCGAAGAATGTAGTGTCGAAGGAAAGGATCCCTTACCGCGCGATCGTCCGCGTCAAACCTGCTAATAAGCATGTACCCGATATAAGATAGACTTGCGAGATTTTTTTATATTAGAGGAAATTTTAATTAACGAAAATTAATCCTTCACGTGCGAAACCGTGCGTGACTCAAAATAATATATATAATTTATGTAATTTTTAATAATTTTTGATAATATATACAATTTTTCATGCATAA